TTGTATAAACAGAGGCATAGAATCAAGATCACTCAAAGTATTAGTATCACTTTATAAAACCCTAGCAAGACCACACCTGGAATACTGCAGTCAATTTTGGTCACCATACTACAGAAAAAATGTTGAGACCTTGGAAAAAGTTCAGAGAAGAGCAACTAAAATAATCAAAGGCCTGGAGATTAAAACATATGAAGAACAGCTGCAGGACTTGGGTTTGGCTAATCTAAAGAAAAGAAGAAATAGGGATGACATGATAGCAGTGTTCCAGTATCTGAGGGGCTGCCACAAAGAAGAGGGGGTCATATTATTCTCCAAAGCACCAAAGAGAGAATCAACCTGGAATTAAGGAGAAACTTCCTGACAGTGAGGACAATTAACCAGTGAAACAGCTTGCCTTAAGAAATCGTGGGCACTCCTTCACTGGAGATTTTCAAGAAGAGACTGGATAGTCACTTGTCGGAGATGGTATAGGTTGTCCTGCTTGAGTGGGGGGGGGGGCTGGACTAGAAGACCTCTAAGGTCCCTACCATCTCTATTCTATTCTAATTTATGACCATAATTGGGACCCAAATTTCCATTGTAAATCAGTGCAGTTGTAAAGCAAGTCATTAGATGACTAGGCCCAATTTTATGATCATTTTTACTAACTTATTAAGCAAATCTAGCTTCCCCCATTAACTTTGATTGTTGGAAGCCAGCAGAGAAGGTTTCAAATTGTAATCACATAACCTCAAGATATAGCCATTGTAAATGCGAGCCAGATGCCAAGCACTCTAACTGTGATTCTGTGTCTATAGGTGGTGTGAGGGTCACAATTTCAAGGGTATGTTATAAGTCATTTTTAGCAAGGTTGTTGTACATTTGTACCATCATTAAATGAATAAATGAATATTAAAGGCTATTTTACTGAAGCATGTAGTAGAACAATGGGCCCAGTGCTCTTCAACATCTTCATCAATGATTTGGATGAGGGGATAGATGGGGAACTCATCAAATTTGCAGATGACATCAAGCTGGCAGGACTAGCCAGCACTCCAGAAGACAGGCTTAAGATATAGAAGGATCTTGGCAGACTTGAACATTGGGCATTATCTAACAAAATGAAATTCAGTGGTGAAAAAAGTAAGGTTCTACATTTAGGCAAGAAAAGCCAAATGCACAGGTATAGTTTAGGAGATACCTTGCTCAATAGTAGTAACTGTGAGAGGGATCTCGGAGTCCTAGTGGACAATCACTTAAATATGAGCCAGCAGTGTGCTGCAGCTGCCAAAAAAGCCAACACAGTGCTAGGCTGCATTAATAGAGGGATAGAATCAAGATCACATGAAGTGTTAATACCACTTTACAATGCCTTGGTAAGGCCACATTTGGAATATTGCATCCAGTTTTGCTCAACACAATGTAAAAAAGATGTTGAGATTTTAGAAAGAGTACAGAGAAGAGCAACAAAGACGATTAGGGGACTGGAGGCTAAAACTTACAAGGAACAGTTGCTGGAACTGGGTATGTCTAGTTTAATGAAGAGAAGGATTAAGGGTGACATGATAGCAGTGTTCCAATATCTCAGGGGTTGCCACAAAGAAGAGGGAGTCAAGCTATTTTCCAAAGCACCTGAAGCCAAGACAAGAACCAATGGATGGAAACTAACCAAGCAACCTAGAACTAAAGAAAAACTTCCTGACAGTTAGAACAATTAATCAGTGGAACAACCTGCCTCCAAAGGCTGTAAATGCTCCAACACTGGAAGTCTTTAAGAAGAGATTGGACATAGAATCGTTTTAATTAAACTTTTCAAAAGCATCTCAGTTTGATTTTGTGTTTATGTCAGTTAGATAAAATCTTTTGACTATTTATCTATCTCTAATTTCTTCTGGTAATTTTGTTGCTATTTAATTCCAAAATGTTTTCTCCTTACCTAGTTCTGCACTGCTATCATTCGCCCTTTTGGTTAGTAAAATGCATCAGGAAAATTAAATGAATTGTGTCTGTTGCTGATCAGCCATAATGCCTTAGGCCATGAACAGATGCCGCTCTGATATCTGAAGGTAATGCCTTGAGTTTGTCTAATTAAATTACTATTTTTCTGCCTCATTGCTTTAAAAGACAGAGAATCTTGTCCTTGTTGCTCGGTGGGCTGAAAGACTACTAATTTTCTTGAAGGCTGGATTCTGAATGGCTAGGATACATAATGCTTGTTTTTGTAATCTCCATCTTATTATTTATTTAATTATTTGTGAGCACTGGTTTTTTGAAGACTCAGTTCATTTAGGTATTCCAACTCACCAATGTTTTTTTAATTTGCTTCTCATTCCAAAGCATTATGGGTTTTTGCAAACCATATGTCTCACAATATGACAATACTTTCCACTGTGATCCAATTATTGCACAACTTCTGACCTACTTGATTAGATGAAGGCATAAAAGTAACTTCAGGGCACCAACAGATTTTGTTGACAAGATAGTCCTGTTTAATGTCTGTTTCTAGTTTGCTTCTATTTTGTAAATGACAAAAGACAATTGAACCAAAATCCTCTTTGTTAAAGTTGCTGGGCCCCTATTGCTGTTTTCTTAATTATTGCTTGAAAATTGACTGTGTACAAGTTTATAAAAACCCCAAAATGTGTTTGTACAGAAATACTAATGATCTTAATATGGTATATATTAAATTCCTGGGGGCAAGCTTTACCTTTCTGACAATCCTTCATTTTCTGAGATTAGTTTTTATAGTAGGTTAGAAATTTACTAACTACCATCCTGTCCATAAATCACTATGGGGAAAGCAGAACCCTGAAAGAAAAAAATAGTTTAATCCTGAGGCATTAGAAATCAATTAGTAAAACAAGAGTAAGTTTATGGTGTACATGGCCCTTTTCTGTGCAGATGGAAGCCAATTAAGAAAAAGCAATCAGGCAAATTATTTTCAATGTTTTTTGATCCATTAATTGTCCTTTCAGTTGATATTTCCTCAGGATCATTGCCTTTACTTTGGAGCAGTTTTCCCTTCACGTGATAATTTAAGGTGAATTTGCATCTTATTAAGTTAAATCCATTATTCTTGCCTATATTCTGAAATGAAAGAAAACCAATGTTGTACTTTCCAGGTGATACTTGTTCAAATATTACAACATGCTATCATATCCCCTATATCCCTTTGGCTAAACATAGCTATAGGTCCTTCAAACTCATTTATAAAATTTGGTTCCTAGTCCCCTGCCTTCCATTCCAGAACTATTATATTAAAATTCCTATGGGTATACTTTAAAACAATTAGATCATAAATAGCAGCATAGTGAAATGTAATTAATATTCAAACACAATGGTTGCTCATCTATATAAATAAAAATGTAAATGTTCGTTTGTTCAAAATCTTAAATCTCCGAAAGTTCTTCACCGATTGCTTTGAAACCGATTGCTTTGAAATTTTGACACAACGTTGCATTCGAATATGCGCATATTTTTATATACCTAAACCTACTATTATATAGATGTCACACCTGTGACAGGTAAAAACATGCTTTTTTAAAAAACAGCGCCATCTGTTGGACGTAAAAGCAACACACTTCTTTTCCATTTAACCAGACTGAGCCACAGCAACGTGTGGCCGGGTACAGCTAGTAAATAAATAAAGGTAGAATGTAGTTCCCTACAAAATCATTTGTTTATAAAAAAACATGTATTATTTTTACTCCAGTTACTTTTTCAATTATACTTCAATGGAATTAGTGGAGAGGAAAGCAAGTCTATGAGCAAATGCCCACAAATTTAGCTTAGTTGTATAAAGTTTTCTAATTTGCTTTCATTTAATGCAAGAAGCTACAGATGTATGGCATCATGTAAGTTCAAACTGTTTTCAATCCAAAGAGCAAGAGCAAATATCTCATTTTGAAGAGCTTTGTGTGCAAACTACTCTATGTCAAGTTTAAAACCCTTCCAAAACAACCCAACAGTTTGTTTGTTTGGCTGTCAGACAGCTGGTTTACATACTAAATAATGTTTGAATAAAAATGAAATGGATCAAAATTAGAAAGGGTTCAAATTCAGTCATTTTATATACCCCTACAGAGGGCTATTCCTCTCCCCCACCCATTTTCAGTAAGAGAAACTGCAAAAGAGATGGAAAAGTGTATAGTATTTAATTCATTGAACTGAATTTAAATACAACTGCAAAAAATGTATGCAGGATATATTTTTACTAAGAGTTCTAATGCTTGTGTATAGGCTATATTTGTAGATTGCTGCTTGTAAGCATCCTCAGGATTTATAGAAACAAATGGGAACTGGTGTTTAGTGTAGTAGAATTTATTTTATGTATGCTTTTTGATGGACTGCTTGCTTTTACTCTAAGTAAATATTTTTAAGAAACAGGAAAAATATGTTAAACAGCCCACCCCTTGGCACCATTTATTGTAGAACATACAATAAATTATACTTATCCATAATTACAGCACAAATATAGAAACCTGTACTGTAGTTCTAAAATTAAAGGAGTTCCGTTAAACATAACTAAAAAAAGAAAAATTATTTGTATGAGCAGATTCCCATGACTATCATAGGCTCAGATTGGTATATTATGGGTTTCTTTAACTATGCTGAAATACAAGTAGATTTTTTATAAAACCAATACAAAACTGCTTCCTTGATGCTAGAAACTGCCAGGTTAACCGAATGACTAATTCACAGTATGTAGTAGGCATGGTAGTCATAAAATGAGAACAAGGAAACTCAACATGCCATGCTGGTTCAAAGTGTGATAGCCAGTGGTTCACATAGAAAGCATATACAGATGCAAAAAAGATGGTCTACTTCAAAACTTTTTTTCCCTAATACATGCCAGCAACAACTTCATAAAGTGATGGTCATATGAACCGAAACAAATCCTCATACAGCCTTTCTTTCTCAAGCAAATTTTAATAATTTTGTCCATCTGAGTGGATGGTCCAGAGGAAATGGCTGTCATTGAGCATGCACAGTCAAGCCACACTTAGCAGATTAATAATCACCTTGGATCTATTGCACCGCTCCTTAAAAAAAGAATAGAAAGGGAATTTTTTGAAGCATCTCACACATTTCATAGCTTGTAATAACAATAGCAGACAAGCAACATTGTAACACAAAAACTGCATATTTATCAGTCTTCAAGTACACACACACATACACAAACAAACACACACGTAGCAACATACACAATTTGAATATAATGCTCTTCTAATGAATTGTTTCAGTCTGAAAATTTCAAACATTTAATATTAATAAAATTGTGTACATATCTGTACACCATTGATCATCTGAGGGAGTGGAAGTATAATCAACCTGTGAGAACCTACTTTCCTTTTTGAAGCTAAGTGAAATGACTTGCTCAGGTAATACAAGCTGGCCTGGATAAACCTATTATTATTATTATTATTATTATTATTATTATTATTATTATTATTATTAATTATTATTATTATTATTATTATTATTATTATATTTTAGTAATTATATCTTCAATCAAAATTTTTGGGGAAGTGTAATTTAGTGATAATATGTATATGTATTTTGTTATAGATTACTTTTTCTTTCCCAGATTGGCAGAATTACAAATCCCAGATTTTTCTGGGAGAAAGAATGAGTTTATAAACAACAAAAATCTATACTATGGATATGACAAAATGTATTGAGAACTCAGGACTTAAAATTGGTTTTTATATATTTAAACATTCATATATTTATCCCCATAGTAAATGAATATCAAAAAGTTCTACATGTTTCCCACACTCACCAAGCCAGTAATAAGTAAATCACAATTCATTATTCCATCAAATGGCTGAAGAAAAATATACATTCATACAGCCACACAACATATAATCAGAATAAGTAATCCCCATACAGAAAAGAGCCTTTTCTTTAGCCGTGTTACACAGCCCGTGTACATAAAATTCCATGAAAAAAGGAAAAACTTCTAAACTGCCTCACTCTTTGCACCCCCAAATGAGCATAAAATATGAACCAATAAATGCTAAATATTTAAACAAAAGATAACAGCAATAATAAACATTCCCAAATCAAGGCAATGTAGAGATCTTAGAAACATACCTCCTTTTGATTGTAAGCATTGCTCCCAAAAGGATAATAACAAACATCAGAAGACCAGCTATAACTCCAGCCATTTTCACCGTATTATCAACCTGTTTTTCTGGTTCCACCACATTAGAATTCTGTGTAGAAGCTCCTTAAGAAGTTGTAGAAAAGAAGAAAATAAAAGCATTGTTGAAAAATCCTAGGTTAATCAGATTTCAACAACTGTTTAAATGTAACAAAAAGCCTAACCTGTATTTGGCCATAATAAAAAGAGAGAATTATCTTTGCCCCAAATATGACAAAAATATTTTCTCCCTTCCAACCTATGTAGAGACTCAGTAATGTAACAGACTAAATGGCAAACATAACCCCATTTCAGTAAATTTATCATGCATTATCAAATAGCATGTGATCATTTATTTATTTATAAATTTTATTGGCTGCCCATCTTACCACAGGGTAACTCTGGGAAGGTTACAATCATAAATATCTATATATCTATATTAAAAAATAAATAAAAGCAACCATTTATCTCCAATTACAAGTAGGAAGGACGGGGCAAGGTGGGGGAATGTGGGTTGTGCTGTTATTCAATCAATCACTTCTTTATGTCTAATGAAGATGTCAGATCTCGGAAAAGTATGTCAAGTGAAAAAAAATGGGTAACCATTCATTCAAGTATGTATTTAAAATTATTATATTTTATGTGTTTGTATCCTCCCTTTATTACTTTTACAAATATCTCAAGATGATGAACACACCTTCTACTTTTCTCACAACATTAATTCTGTGAGGTGAGCTGTGCTGAGAGAGAATGACTGGCCCAAGGTCATCCTTTTGGCTTTCATGGTTAAGATGGGACTTGAATTCACAATCTCCCACTTTCTAACCTGGTGCCTTAACTAGCAGAGTAAACTTACCATTCTTTATAAGAAGATTTAGTTATACAGGATTATTATATATCTTACACCGGACTATTAAGATTAATTGAGAAGACCCTTTGTCTTATATTCCTGTCTCATATTCCTGGAGCTTTGGTGATAGACCTGGTGATAGACCTGGCTACATCACCAAAGCTCCAGGAATTTCTGGCAGGGAGTCACAGCATAATACCATTTTAATTGCCAAAGCTTCATAACTGAAAAGTGGGAAGATTTCAAAATGTGAATATAGCTCTGCTCATATTTTACAACATCAATAGTTATTCTAAATATGCAACCCTCATTTACAGACAGTAAGAATATTTTTGCTTCATTTACTAAATGAAGCAAACCAGGATAATATGCCTAGCTGTGACTCCCTGCCAGAAATTTCAATAACTGTTGTGCTCTGTCCAGTATCCCCAATGACTAGTAGAACAGCATTTTAAGAGCTTATACTTTATGGATTACTGCCTCCAGCATGTGGCAATTAAGGGAGTATCTGAATAGGATCTATGTCATTCAACTGCTGCAATTGTCCAGAAACATATTGTAATAGCAGTGGTATTTCTCATGCCCTTAAGGGCTTCCAATAAACCAGAAAACACTCAAATGAAATTGGTAAAATTGGATCTTCAATCTCTGGAGGCGCTCAAACAAAATCAAGTGAAGCAGGCTGCATTTGGAGAATACAGTTTGCTAAGAGTATAGACTGATCCTAAGCAGAAGATTTTGAAGAATTTTCAACTGTCTGGTTATAGTCAAAAACATTATTCAATATGTGCATGAAGCTACATTGCTTATTGCAAGGTACACACAGTCTCTGTATAAAGAAATTGGAGAATAAATATAAGAAGTTGAATCTCAGTGGCTACTAGATAAACAATTAGTGCAAGATAGGTTGTGTGTTTCATTTCAGAGTACAGTGAAATTCTACCTGGTTTTCACTGCTTGTGTTTGTAGAAGTGTGTGTGTGTGCATATCTGTGTCTCTGTGTGCTGGTGTATCTGTGCATGTGTGTGGGCCTGTGTATATTTCTGTCTTGATTAACAAAAATTCAGTTCCTGTTAAAGTAATTTGATGTGCATTATCTAAATAAATGATTGACTATGGTATTTGTTTATTTATTTATAAGCCACAACCAAGAAACTTTCAACAAATTACAATCTCAGCAATTAAATATCTATGGCACAATGCCACTTTCTTGAACTTCTTAGCCAATCTACAATAAACATTTATTTATTCTGCAAAGAGTTGGATGGGGAAATCAAATTCAGAGCAACAGTCAAATCTCCTCCACATCAATAGAATTATTCAGCTCTTTTAATTAATAAAATGAGGACTAATTTGCTATAATATTTTATGATAACATTTTGCTCTACTATAAAGTAGAAAGAGAAGAGGATGACCAGCACCGAGGTGCATGGACTTAGTGGCAATTGGTAAAGAAAGACTTGGAATATTTGAAGGACCAGGTTAAGGACAGATGATCATAGGTATAATCTATCTAAGACTTGACACTGACCTGATGGCACATAATCAATAAAACATAAATAAAGTAGAGTGGTAAGGCTGAGGAACTTGGATAGGCTTTCATATGACTTTCCTAATGATTCACCTTCCAAACTATCAGGGACAAGTAAGATAATGGCTGGAGTACAGAGTACGATACAAATAGTCCATAATAATTTATAGAATTAATTTTCTATTATCTAAAGTCTCCAATAGCTATTGCCATAGATAAATTACTAAGAAGTTACACATAAATTATCCAAGTTCTCCTGTCATCTGGAGAAGATGTGTATCATATCAGATGCCATAGTATATCAACAGCTGCATTTAACATTGAAAAAATATTATGTTTGTATATAATATTTAACAATTCCATACAAAAATCTGCATCATGGTGTCAATAGAAGGCAGAGTTTTAAAATTGTTCATATTGGAACAATTTTATCATAGATTTTCCATTTTTTAAAAGCTACATTTATAACTGATTCATTTCATTGGGTTTCTATTTTTTCTCTTGGCTCTGAATGCCCCTAGCTGTGCACTAGAGATAAAGAAAAAGGTGTTTCAGAGCATGCAGAGGTGATCATGAAGCCAATGTCATCAATGGCTTAAAGCAACTCCATCTTTTTCCAAGTTCAAACAGCTTTTCTATCTAGCTATAGAACAATATGGAGAAAAGACAATCTTCAAAGTAGCTTTTTTCCCTGCAAACCAAAAGTATTACACAGTCTTGATGTATAGTATAATGCTTTGTTATAACATGGAATCTTTTCTGGAATCTAGCAAAAAGTGTTCCCTTCCTCATGTCACTAATTGTATCACTCCATAAAAGCTGTGTCTTGAGGAAGTGAGGGGGCAAGATTTATAGCTATAAACCTATCTATAACTGATATCAATAAAACCTCAAAACATGTCAATCTAACATACCAAGCTAACAAGTGATTCTTACAAAACATTTTCTTCTTGTTTTGTCAAGATGCTGGAGCAAACTCACCATCACCAACTCGCCATGGCTAACTCACCATGGTGAACTCAGCATGGCCAATTCGCCACAGCCAACTCGCCATGGCCAACTCACCACAGCCAACTCACCATTGCTAACTCGCCACGGCCAACTCATCATCGCCAACTCACCACAGCCAAATCACCATGGCCAACTCTCCATGATCAATTCACCACAGCCAACTTGCCATGGCCAACTCACTGCACGACAAGAGTTACATTAATATCAAAGAAACTATGGAATAGAATCATTAAAGAAAGGATGCAGAAGGAAGGACAGAATGAAATGTGAATGGCAAAAATTAATTAAATAGAATTGTTAAATTGTCCCACAGCAAGTTGTCCAGTGGCGATTTGGCCATGGTGAATTGGCTGTGGTGAGTTGGCTGTGGCAAGTTGGCCATGGCAAGTTGGCTGCAGCGAGTTGGCTGTGGTAAGTTGTCCCATTCTGCTCTGGAGCTTTCAACCTCTTTCTCTCTTCATCTCTCTGTCTTTTCAGGACATGAACACAACTGGAGCTTCAGTAGCCTTACGTTGAGAATTTAATCTTCAAAAATGTGAAATGAATTTCATAGGACTAGCTCATTTAACTGAACTTTTTGAGAAGATAGCTATTGCTTCTTGTACAATTAAACTCTTTCATGGAGAAAGCAAGTTAATAAAATGCAAAGAGTGTAGCATGTGAGTGCGTATGTGTGAGTGGGTGATGTGTCTGTGAATATCTATATGTGTGTTCAATTGTAAGCTCTGTTTCATCATTTAAAGATTAGGGTTTAATTGATTCTAATCTTTCCAGGAGTGAACAACTGCTAACTTTGCCACAAAAGTCCCTTATGAGGAAAGCAAGATTTAGGCTTCTCAGAACCCAATAAAATGAATAATAGTTTGCAAAAAATTATGAGCCCAATATCTGTGTAGCTCCTCCATTATCAGGAAAATGATTAGCCACCTCCTCTATTCATCAGCCACTTTTAATGAAGACAATTAGAAATGCCTACTCTAATGAATTTAGAAATAAACTGAAAACTGATAAACTAAATTGAAAGCATCCAGTTGTCAAGATTTTGGTAATCTAATCCTTTTCCTGTTCAATAAATTTAATTGTAGAAGACTTTGTGTCAGAATATTGCTTTTTTGTTAACATTTACCATCCCAGATTTCTTCAGGAACAGAGTCATTTGGTGAGAAAATTGAGCACAAGATTCTAATACTTCCAGTTTCTTATACTTCCTTAGACTTCAATTGATGCTTTAGTTTTCTAAAAATTAAAAGATCTTTTTTCTGCTGCTAATTCAGTGCATGATTCTCATCAAATTTGGGTTCCTTACATACATGTTTCCACCTCTGTAATCACCAATTTAATGCCCCATAGATACTTCCTTTGGTACCAACCACTTTCCCATATGAGTTTTCCCATATTAAAAACACACTTTTAATTAAACAGTATCTGCATGGACTGCATGCTACAAAGAAAAGTGCAAGCCTCAAGCCTTACATTTATTTCTAAATATATGTATTTAGAAGCAATTGCAACCAATTTTTTTTTGCTTGGAAACATGCAACTCCATCTAGAAAAAACATAATTCATCAAGAACAGTAGTGAATATTCTGCAGAAGGAATGCTAGGAATGATGGCAAGTAGAATTCCATTAATCAATGCTTCACAATTAATTGTGTCCCCTATGGCAGCCATTTTGTAAATGACCAAGCTCCTCCC